ACTTGTCAGCCTACTATGCAAGGCCCGATTTGCCAAATAAGCCAAGTTTTCATAAATTAATTGTTTTTCGACTACCTAACCTACCTAACCTAACGTAACTTTTTCGGCTACCTAACCTAACCTATAAAGATAGGTTAGGTTAGGTAGGGTTGGTTAGGTTTGGTCATATATCTACGTTAATTTTAACTCCAAAAAAAAAAAATGGACCTCATACATAATGAAATGGGTAGCTTTATCATTTCATAAGAAAAAAAATTAGAAAATATATTTCAGGAAAACTTGGCTTATTAGGCAAATCGGGCCTTGCATAGTAGGCTGAGAAGTGCGTTCTGGCTACTAGGTACATTATATATATATATATATATATATATATATATATATATATATATATATATATATATATATATATATATATATATATATATATATATATAAATGTTGTAATGACTTGAGATGAATACTGTCTAGTTGGACGCGAGTGTGGCATTGGTGTGTGTGTGGGGGGGGGAGGAGGTGGGGGTATGTGATGAATTGGGTGCGTGGGTGGAGGGGGGGAGGGGTTGTGGGGTGGGGGCAATAATAATAATAGGGGTAACATGGGATTGGGGTGGTGGGGGGGGGTTATGAGGGGAAGGGGGGGGGTGTACGAGAGGGGGAGGGGAATGGTGGGGTTGTGGGGGGTGGAGAGAGAGAGAGAGAGGAGCGAGGAGGTGGGTAGCGACACCTGGCACTCGGTGCGGTGCACTGACCGGCCTTGTATGCCATGTGAGGCAAGGACCCGCAAGGTTGGTACGCCTGGCCGCACTTCCCCTCCTCTCCCCTCCCCTCCCCTCCTCCCTCCCTCCCTCCCCCCAGCAGGTGCAGCGGTCGGGTTGGCACTCCTGCCAGATGTCTATCGTTCGGGTCCACATTTCTGATGGCGACGGCTTGGGCACACACACACACACACACACACACACACACACACACACACACACACACACACACACACACATGGAAGCGACGAGAAGGTTCTCGATGTTATAAATTACCAGTGTGTGTGTGTGTGTGTGTGTGTGTGTGTGTGTGTGTGTGTGTGTGTGTGTGTGTGTGTGTGTGTGTGTGTGTGTGTGTGTGTGTGTGTGTTTACAGGGTCTGTTCGGCATAATTTGAACCCCCCCCCCCCCTCTCTCTCGAGGTGTTCGATCCTGGTGGATTGATGGTGGGGATTAAAATACTTCTCCTTCTTGAATGGGTGAGTTTGTGCTTAAAAATATCTTAGTATTAGGAACGATTTAAAGAGACTCGGGAACAAAGTCATTGGCCGGTGGGTGGCGGAGCGAACGATGCTACACGACAAGTTGCGTATTTACATACCAGTCTTCACATTCTAGGCTGCCGATGGGAATATCTCCTGGGTGCCTACAGATGAGCGCTGAATGAAAATTAGGGAGAAATCATGTCTGGCAGGACTTCCTTGTTGGGTCCGCCGCCGCGTAGTAGAAACTGGGATAACTGTTGTGAGAGAAAACGGACATGTGCTCTGGATATTAAAGGCGGAACTCAAGTGTTTGGTTGAAGTCGCGTTATTAATTTGAACTTTTTTGTTTTGTTTTTGCCATTCTCGGGGCCAGGACGCCTGTTAGGCTTAACGAGGTATTTAAGGTCAAGGGCCATGTTTAACGCGCGGTCACCCGTCCGGTTATTGGCCAGACCCATCGGTTATTAACCCGACTGATCGAGTGAGGAGCTCATCGTCTTTGTGTACTCACCTAGTTGTGTTTGCGGGTGTTGAGCTCTGGCTCTTTGGTCCCGCCTCTCAACTGTCAATCAACTGGTGTACAGGTTCCTGAGCCTACTGGGCTCATATCAACATTTATAACTGTGTATGGAGTCAGCCTCCACCACATCACTGCCTAGTACATTCCACCTGTTAACTACTCTGACACTAAAAACATTTGAGTACTCAGTTTCCACCTGTGTCCTCTTATTTGCGTACTACCCGTGTAAAACAGTATCTTTATGTACCTTGTCAATTCCTCCAAGAATTTTGTAGGTAGTGATCAGGTCTCCCTGAGCTCTCGTGTCTTCCAGCGACGTGAGGTGCATTTCAGGGCATCAAGACGTAAGGAACGGTATTGTGCAGCAGTCTCTCTGAAGATCCTCGAGTGTTTCGTGTATAATTGACAACGTCGATTTTAATTGTGCGTTTCATAACCGTCAATTTTAGGCCATTGATGATGGACCCCAACGGAAGGTGGTACTCTTCCATTGTTGACCAGACCACACCCTAGAGAATGAAGGGACGACAACGTTTCGGTCCGTCCTGGACCATTCTCAAGTCGATAGACCGAAACGTCGTCGTCCCTTCATTTTCTAAGGTGTGGATTGGTCAACATACTTCAGCCACGTTATTGTGACTCATCGCCTGCGTACTCTTCCATTCTTTGTCTAACAACCGTGGACATCAGGAGAAAACTGGATAGTTTTCTTCAAGGAGTGCCGGACCAACCGGGCTGTG